GATTTTGAAAATCCAATTTACTAAAATCCTCTTTCGGCTTATTTAGTGTTATCGCAATCCTTTAATACTCATTGAAGCTTGACAAATGGCCAAGGGCGAGTTTCGTTGTCAAAATCATGACCACTCAGTCGCATCATCAGCCTCATTACCATCGGCAGGCAACCCAAAAAAAAAAACAAAAAAACCAACAAAGACCCTTCAAATACATATATGCGTGTACTTGAATAGATGTTTGTTGGTAAACACATACACGTGCCTCGGCACATACGCTCACACGCAGTGACCCCAGCATGAAATGCAAATGTGGCCCATTTCAATTTAGATTTATGAGTTCAGATTGTCTGTCTCTCATTGTTTTCGCTTCCCTCTGCTATTGATTCCCAACAGAAACGCAATCGGAAGTGTTGTACAATAACTGAACAATGCGATAAAAATTAACAAATTCTATATATTGACCACTAATGTGTGTGTGTGTATAATGAATGATACAAATATATATATAAAAACTTTATAGTTATATGAAATAATTATTGGTTTTATAATTTTTGACTTCCGTCTGTTGATTTGAACTCATTTTTATTCAAGTTACTTCCGCATATGGATTAGAGTTCGAAATAAATTTAAGCACAACATATAGATTAAAATATTGGCAAAGCCATTTTCTATTCGTTTCACATGTTTAGTTTGGCTAGTTGTTTATCACAGCAGCTTATCAACATTCAATTTAAGAGTTTTTCTATTTCAATTTCTAGTTTATCTAACAATTTCCACATAAGGCTGAAGAAATATTTCAAATATTAAATTTTATGCTTATGCAATTTTTAATACATATTTTGGGTTCATTTTTTTTATCTACACCACATAATTATCACAATCATATGCAGTAGCTGTGCCTTGTTGTATTCCTGAACAATGAGTGTCCGTCTATACGACTCTTTGTCAGATTCTATAGCTGTGGCCATAATTATCGCCAACCGGGGGACCCATAAATCTGAAAATACTATTTGTACAATGTGCACTACAAAAAAGAACTAATTGAAAAATTGTTCACATGCACATCTGGCCGGCAGCTAACTGAACGAAAATTTCGCCAACCTTGAAGTGGGCCAACACGAAAGTGGGCAAAATAATTGCGCATATTTTGCAAGCCACATTCAAGACGCCCCTCTTGGCATTTTGCTATTTGGCCTAAGTTTGGCAAACTGACACAAAAAAGCATTTGGCCAAACGAGTTATCCTTGTTTCATTTCTGGTTCAGCGCTTTGTTATTGTCCAGGCCTGAGCCAAACAGTTTCGTTTGTGTTTTTGCAAGCCGGGTTCTGCTTGAAGTACTTTAAATTATTTTTATGCGCACATATAAATTGTGATTGGATTTGAGAAACCCGTTCATAAAAACACCAAAAGCCGTCCGTCCAATGTCCAAAATGTAATGGTTGCCTCTCTGTTCTCTCTCATTCGATGCGCTTCAAAATCAATAAGCGTATGGAATGTTAAAAATATAAAAATGCCCAAAAGAAAATAAGTTTCGGCAGCTTTAAAACGAAAACTCCCAAACACAGACAGTAAAATAATCGAAGTCTGTATACAATTTCTTGTAATAGTTCTTAAATTTGTATTTTTGCAATTACTCATTAATTTAATTTAATTTCAATATTTTCTTATATTTAATGCGCCACAATAAAATAATCAATTGTGCAAAATAATTACTTGCTCTTCAGCTAGATTAAAAAAGGGTTTGTTTAAAATATAACTTAGTTCATTTACTACTTTTACTTTTTAATATATATATATTTTTTATGACTACCCCCAAGAAGATCCCTTAAGCTCACACTCATTGCCCCAAGCATTTATTCCAAAGACTAATAAAAAATTTTAACTAATTATTAATTACCATTATTTATTGAACTTAATTCTAATTTAAGTCAAATTTTTGCAAAAATAGACTGTACTGATGTTCACTAAGAGTTATTCAATTTAAGCCAAAATTGTTCACTGTGTAATTGCAATTACGGGGTGCCTTTAGAAATATTAGATATACGCAGTGCGAAAGGCACTTAAGCGAGGCGCCTCTCGTAATGTATCTCTAGGCGAATAAGAGCGCAGCGAACTATCCACGTGAGCATAGAGGGAGGCTGTTATGTTGCAAATGTTGTTATTTCTCCTTCCTAGCTATTTGCGTTGATTGCTTCTAAGCCGCATGCCACAGGCCTCATAATGAGCTTAACTCGCACACACTCAGACACATATCTCACCTGGAGCTGAACGAAAATGACCATCCCACATAAAGTTCGTCAATTTATTTGACACACACTCACACGAAGCCAGAGAGCAAAAACTGGGCAAAATAAATCCGAAAGATTTTTTCTGCTGCCAACCTGTACATATTATGAGGCAAGTTGTCGCCTTGACATTTAACTATATGTTGTTGGAATTGCTGGTCTGTTTGTGGGATTTCTCAGATAGATTTTCACTCAGAATTTAATTATTTGTCCTTGCCCGCTTTTGTGTTGTTTGTCTGACAACTAGAAATGCAATTTACCTATTCCAAAATTCCAAAAAGCCGCGGATTATTTGACTTCTAGTTGCGTGCGCCTTTGTTAGTGGCGGCTTTATTGATTGATACTCGATATGAGTGAACAAAAGCGATATTGCCGTTGCGAATATAAAATCCCATAATTGTCTATTAAATTTTCCTTATGTAATTGACAATTTTGTCATAAAAATACAAAGTTTTTTCCAACAACTCAACTCACTCCAAATTTACAAAGATATGCATACGAAAAGAGGCCAAACTTCCTTTATATATATTATGTGTTGTAAGTTATATCGATGAACATTAAAGTTAAAGTTAAAATATGCTAAAAATATGAACTTCTAACAATAAAGTGAACTTTAATTGTAATGCTTATCTTAATGTAGCTAATAAATTACAATTTTCAATGCTTAAGATTACTTTTGGCTGTCAGCAGGGTATCTCCTGCGCGAGCCCTCTTAAATAGCGGTTTGTTACTTGTTAATTCATTTGTTAGCCCCCACAAAACAAATAGTATAATCGAAAAAGTTTTTCATTGAGACATTGCAAAATGTTAAACTGCTAAGAAGGACAAAGTAAATGATAAAAGTTTATTTATTAGTGTCTAATTGCAATTATGCACGATGTGATATTTAATGGAAATAATCTTGTTAATGGATCTAACTTGTGTTTTATTATTATTATTATTATTATTATTATTATTATTATTTTATTATTTGTTATACTCTAAATGTAGTGATTTAAGCAACTTCCGTAAAATATATGAACTTTATTTGAATTAATGAAGGTTTTATGCATCCAAATGATTCAATGAGGACAATTTTTGTAATGAAACAATTTGCTAATTGAACACTTCAAACTTTTAAAGAAATTACGAAAAAGGTTCGTAGTTAAAAATTTTTGCTGGCTCTTGTCCCGTTCCATCTCATTTTAAGGTCTGATTTTTGTAGCTGCAGTTCGATCGATACTTTTCAAGTGTGTTAAGTGTTGACAATGTTAAAATTAACTTTGTTTGCCCGACTTTAGTACTGAAGTCTTTACTTGTGTGGTGAACATTTCAATCCAACACTCAATGCTCTCCCTATTCCCATCTAAGCAAGCCTTGCTTGCATTTGCGGCCATTTGTTTATACCATAAAGCCATTAAAAAAGTTTACAAAAATTGTGTAATAAACTTGTGCAAAATTATATAACAGACAGAAGGAAACATATCCGATACCATAAAGTATATGTATTCGTGAGTAGGATCAACAGTCGATTTAACAAACGGATATCAAAGACTATAAGAGTTAGAGTCTTAAAATTTTCGAAGTAAGGCAACAAATGTAAACTAGCTTTAAAATTGCATAAAACGTTTTTTCGTATTGCACAAAATTATATCAGCAAGCTTACTACAAGTCGAGCGGTCTCGACTAGAGTATTCTACATTTATTTTCCTTACTTTTCACAAGGGAAAAACTATAGCTCTAATCAATTATGCGCGTGTAGTAGAAAGTTTGCAATTACATAGTTATTTAGTATCTAAGGTAAGCCCGTTATCCTTGGCACCACACAAATAAACTTCAACTTAAGTACCATCTTTAACTTTTCAGTAATTGAAATGAATGCTGTTAAGCCGGCCAAGACAGAACTTTAAGCAACCGGAGCTTGGAGATTCTAATTACTTATTGCATTCAATTTTCCTTAGCTGTTTTTAGCATAATGAAAGCCTTGTCTTATTATGTCATCAGCCATTTGAAAGGGATCCCATTGATTTCTATTTGTGTGTTTTTAAATGCCAAATGCGAGTTAGTCAGAAAATAATAATTCTAAATAAAGGGTAATAAGTACTGGTTAATCACACTATTAAAATAAGCCACAAAGTGCTCTTTTTACGCCATTCGACCGAAACGTCGGTGGACAAAATAAATTATTGGCATTATTTACAATACAGCAATTATAATTAATTTGCGGGATGTTGAAACATATTGAACTTAAATTCCATGAATTCCAAAAATAAATTAATGATTATAAGTGGAAACGGGGCTACCGACAGCGAGATACACTGCCCTATACTCTCAACCTACTACTTTTTTGTTTAGTTATTAAACATCACAAATTAAATGGTATAATTTTAATTCTAAGTTAGCTGGTTGTAAATAATTAAAAATAAACTGATGCTGTGTTTTTATTTGCAGAGATTACAAAGCTGTCAAAGCTATAAGGCAACATTATATAAAGCTGTCGTTCAATTTCCGCTAAGAGACAATTCCAGATGCAACCTCTACACCATAAATTGCATCACTTGGCTTTTATTTCTGTTCCCATTCAACATCAGTGATAATAAAGTTCTCCTCAGCAATTGCAAATTGCATAGATGTCAAACAGTTGGAAAATTAAATGGAAAGCTACAATCAACATTGGTGACTTGTTGGGTTTTAGTGGCTATTGTGCTGTCCTGTGGATTTGCGATGCATTTTCAAACTTACTTTGCCTCATTGATGCTCTCAAGATTATCACGATTGTCGATGATGCTGGTTAGCAGGCTGACCACCTCGGTTCGATTGAGGCTATTCAATAGCGTTATATTCACTATGCTATTCAGCTCGAAGCGAAGCACGGCGAGAATTGTGCAATTCACCAGCAATTCTGTATCCACAATTTCCGGCATTATTCACTAGGGCGCTTGGATGGGCGGGGCGGTCGGTGCTCAAGGAAATTTACACGATTCGCTATAGCAAACCGTTGATGTGGGTTTTTAATAGTTGGTTGCGTAATGAAAGCGTTCGGTTAACGGCAACTTATTTCACAGTAATTGCAAAGATTTCCTTGCGGCTGACCATGTTGGACAACCACAGCAGGAGAAGCAAATGGATCTTCTGATGCAGCAGCCAAAGTTGCACATACCAATTTGCGGGCTTTAATTATATGTTGCGGTCTTCACTCTTATGCATATACAGCGAGGATTACGCTGCCTGTGCTGAGGGTGCAAGTTAAATCGTTTGTCATGAATTTTCTGTGCAGCAACTTTATTAATTGAAATATAGCGCATACGCAACGTTAATATTTGTACACAAATAGCTAACACTTTTTGTGTGACATTATTTATTTATATAAGTTTAGTTATATTAAATTCAATTTACGTTTCTGACATTAAGTTTAATACATTTGATTTGCACTAAATATTGGTCATTTTAAAGGGAAAAAGTAGAGTAAACCTTAACTCAATTTTGTCTAAGTTCCTAAAATGAAATTATTTAATTGTGTTATAAGTTGTATTAAATTTCTATTGTACACTGTATATTTGATTATTTAACAAATGAACGTACAATTAAAACACGTAGAGCTTTTTATTTCATTAATGTGTTATCACATTTAATATTATCTATAATTATTTGAATATATTTGTATATATTAAAAGTGCAATTGCTTAATTACTCAAATAATTTTAATTTCACTTGAATTTATAAAATTCAGATTCCGATTTTGTGAATTTTTTACATTTATTAAACACAGACAAGCAATTGCTTTAAACACAACATTGAATTACGTTTTAAATTGATTTTTTATTTCGGTATTTGATTTGTGTTGTGACTTTTGAGTAGCTTGCCGCTTAGAAGCAACAGTGCTAGCATACTCTGACCGATACAAAACTGCTGGACCGCTGTACCGTTAGCTGAGCTCGAGTTAACGCGTGAACTTTGGTGCTACGAGTGCCGCCGACGACTGTGCGCCTTACGTCCTTACAACAAAATGTCTGCTGAGCAAAGCAACATCAGACGAGATACACAGGCGCACAGACATCCACACACATAGCAACATTTACACAACCTGTTGAGAAAAGTCAGCAACAAATGACTGTCAGCATGTTGCTAAGCCTTACGTTCGCAACATTTTATGGCAGCCAGAGAGCGAGAGAATGAGAGATTAAGAGAGTTATGGCGCTCTCTAAACTGCTGGCAGCATTTGGTTAATACTGTTTGAACTTATTGCCTTCGGTTGTTGTTTAGGCTGCGACTCTGCGGAAAATAAACTTCTCGCTGTTGTGCCAATATGATGAATGACCTGTAAATCATTATAGAGGACATGAACAAGGACAGCGGTTAGTCACGGTAAATGTGTTAGTGTGCATGTGTGTTAGCTGAAGTCTGCAAATGCTTGCGTGTGTTTCTTTGTCTGCCTACATACATATATACATATATTTGTGTTTGTGTGTGTGTCTATATGAAAGCGTGTATTTGCAGTGTTGATGTATTTGCATATTTTAGATTATGGCTGCCCATTCAGACATTTGTACATGACCCAGCATCTACGCGAACACTATCACACACACACACACACAAACACACACACACACACACATTTAAATACACACACACACAAACACACACACACACATTTAAATACACACACACACAAACACACACACGTACACCCTCATAATTCGCACGCATCTGCATCCATGTTTCGTTGGTTTTTTATGTGGTTGCTGCGTTTAGTTTATGGCATACATTTGCCATTGCTCTGCCCATTGCCACGCCCCATACACCAACAACACATATGTTTATCGTGAAACACCCGCCCTAAACATATTTGCACAGTTTTCGCTTTTAGTGGGGCGTGGGCGACTGATGCTGTCTTGCTTATATTCATCGCATTTCGAACATGTTTATAATGTTAAATTTATGTGCATTTGTAGTGCTTTGTTTGTATACAACGCAGTCTGGGGACGCACTTAATGATGCAATGAAGCACTTACCACCAAACTCTCCTCTCTCTCTCTAACCCCCCTTCTCGAATATGGTCGAAATTCTGAGAATTTGTTTCGGCATTCTGTATAATTTGTATGTAAGGATTACTTGGGACATTCATTTTCAGTTTGGAATGAAAAATTTCGAAAATTTAAAATCATTCAAAATACGATTTTTGGTTATTGAATATGTTGTACACTGCAGCTTTTCTTGCATTTCCGTTGAATAGCGTTGTATAAGTCGCAAGGAGTGGACCTATTTTCTGTATTAAAGACAAAATATAAGTTCCAACTAATAATATAATAAAACATGCCACAATTTATTGTTTAATCGGAAAAATAAATGAGTAAATGATGTCTTTTATGAATCAGAATCGTACACAAATGAGAATCAATAATTATATTTTGCTTGGGAGTTTTTGCTAAATGGTAAATGGTTTCAAGTATGGCTCTAAATATAATTCGAATTATTTAGCTTGAAATAAAAAGTATTAAATTAAATTAATTGGTAAACAAAATGTATAATCTGAAGATTGTATTCGCAATAAATATTCTTTATAATTAGTACTTGAAGAAAGTTATAATTGTAAAGGGCAGACGCACAAAAACTTTGCCAAACTAAACAAACTTTTTCAAATCATTTAATTGAATATCGTGGAAGGAAGCTGACGAATGAACTAACTTGTTTGCCTTAACTTATTGTATTTTGTTAAATGCTTTCCGTTGGACAACCAATTAAGCCGGATGTTTGTCTGATGTTAAGTTGTCCTATGGTGACCATCAATCCAAAAGCTATTCATTTAGATTTCATATCATGGCACGCAGTCAGGAAGCACAGATTGGACACTTCATGAAGATTTCATGAGTCAACATGTGTCAATTACCACTTGACTTTGTTTTGACAGTATGAGAAATGGGTTGCAAGTGACATGACAAACAGCAGCAAGAAAGCGCTGCGATGGGGCAGTAAAAATGATAAGGGTATTTCCTAATAAGGTTTTATACAGTCATACATATACATATATGCTTTGTATATTGGGATTAGCCCACGCTGCTTTTGTCCTCAGCATAGCACAAGGCAAGTAAAAGATCCCAACTTCTTGGCAACTTTGCTTGATTTATGTGACACAATTTCTGGGTAACAAAAGGTCACCTTCCCCCCCATGACATACACCTACTTTTTTTTGTGATATGTTATGTGAAAAATCACTTTGGAAGCCATTGAAGTGAACACTGAATTCATTGTTGCATTTGCTAATTAATTTATGACCACAAAAAAATAATTAGCATGTCACAGCTGCAATGCTCGTTTTTGGAGAGAGCGTTGGAAGCCTGTCTGGCGATTTCAGTTTTGTTCTTGGCTTAGCTGTTTGGTTTGTCCGCAGCTCAAACGAGAATAGAAATTAATCAACTTTTACTTTGTCATTGTGATTAAAATGTAATTAGCTTGAATAAGCCGCAGCACACTCGACTGGCTTGATTAATATACATATACCATTTTGTGTTTCGGCCATTAACTTTCCAGAAAACTTACAAATATTCTTGTAATGCTCCATTAATCAGGTATGTTTGCGATATACGTGTATGAGATGTTTGAAAAAGTAACTTAACTTCAACAGTAAAACGTTGACTTCTGCCATCGACAATAAAAACTAAATACAATATATTTTTTCTTATAATTTAATTTAATTTAAACTAAATTAATAATATGTAGATAATGATATGCATTTTTTACTTTAAGATAGAAAAAAAATAAATAAATAGTGAATTTAAAATATATTTTTAATATTTAATATTTAATTTATACATATATATAAAATGTATAATAGCTATTTCCTGAATAGAAGACACTTTGCACCAATTGAATGTCTTTTTCCGTGTCGCTGAGCTTTTTCTTTCTGTTAGGCAAATTCATTTAATATAATGGTCCTTAATCAAGTCATGCTTAATTAGATCGGTAATATTAGTAACATTCATTTTAAATTTTATTTTGAAATCCTTTTTTCTACCTTTACATTGACAACAATTTAATTTAGCGCTTTCTGGATATCAATGTTCAAGAATAATGAGATTACAAATGCAACTATAATTAAAAATTGAAATACATCTAATATAGAGGGAATGATTATTCAAAATATTTAATACTTACTCGACAATATCGATGAGAGCCAGATGAAAGGTGCCCAACAGCTGAGTTCTATGAAGAGAGGTAACAAAATATTTCCACCAAATGAACCGAGACGACCAAATGTCATGATCAATAATAATACCATTGTCCTATAAGGTAGAACTTATATGTATTAAATAGTTATGCTAGTACATTTTTTATAATACCTCATTAATGTTGGAAATTCCACGATAATCAAGCCAATAACCGTCGTTGTACAAATGCCCAAAATGGTTAAATACATTGCAGATAAAATGAGCGTTGATGTTGTTGAATTTGCGAAGAAGAGACCCCCCACCAGAAATATGCATATAAATAAACTGACCTCTATGTGAAAAGCGAACACAAAATGAGAACTCATATTAATATTTAAGATTTGCAAATGCGAATTCCTTTTAACACTAATATGAAGACTTTCGAATTCTGGATTTATTTTTGGTTTTACAATTTTTTGTTTTTAAATACATATTTTTTAATAGTTTTAAAATACTAGTGAGAAATATGGAAAATTATCCATTTAGTTAGACTGTTTTTTTTTTTTAAATTTAAAATTGACTTATTTTACTCTTTGTTTAAGTTTGTGTTACTCACTCAGTATGTGTTTGGCGACTCTTCGAATGCTTAGCAGGGGGAAAATGAGAAAAAAACCAACGAAGCATATGGCTGACAAAATTATATTATATATATACGTATCCGTTTTCGTTTGCTATAATTTTGGGATGATAATACATTTAATGCTTGAAAATGTTGGTCAATTGATCTCCTACCTACTCGGTCGCATTCCTTTAATTTCGTTTCGCGTAAATCGATGTGACCAGATTTCGACTCATTTAGCACCGAGCACATGCTCAGATCGATGCCATGCACCTCGAATGAGTGCATCGTAGAAAAGATCTCTGGCAACCACAGGCGCACTGAGTTCACACTGCAAATATAAGAGAAGTGAGCATCAATCGGTTATAGGTCGATTGTGATTCTATTCAAAATAAACAGGTGATGTGATCGCAAATTGAATGATAAAAACTGGTTCATGTCAGTTACTAAATTAATCTATTTTTAAGATAAGTCTATTTGCAATCTAGATTAAATTTATACTATAAATACTTAAACTTCTTAACTTAAAAAGTAACAATAACCTACACGAAAATACAACTAAGTCAATATCTTGTTTAGTGTGATTGCTATACGAATTAGGTTTGCAATTTAACAATAAAATTTCATGTCACGGGATCAATTGTAATGCGTATTTACCTGGTAATCTGGCAAAGATGCAGGACGTACACGCGCACTGATAATCCCAGATATGGGCTGGAAAACATGGGCTTCAGCTGCTTCATGCCTTCGATACCCTTAAGCTTGATTGCACGAAAGAGTTGACGCATCGATTTCATGGACATGGTCACTCGTTCCTGTGGCAAACTGTCGACCCGCTCAGGAGTGGTATCCGTCAGCTTTGTTATCTGTAGAGATGAAATAATTCGATTGTTATTACCTAAATTGTAAATTACAATAAAAATATTTGATTGAATCTAAAATGTAAGTTCTTAAATCAAAACAGAAATAAAAAATGTTTTAAACTTAATATTAATTATTAAAACTATACATACCTACATACATATACATTTTGATATTTCTCTTTCTAAAATAAGTGAAGTTAACTCACCGGAAAGGATTCGCGACGCTTGCGCTTATTCATGGCATAGATGAGCTGAAAACAACCCATCGCCTTGCGGTATTGGCCCTGTGACATGAGAAACTTGGGACTCTCAGGCAGAAAGATATGAAAAGTACCGGACATGAGGCTGGGGAGTCCGGTAATTGCCAGAAATAAATGCCAGGCGTGAACTGCGAAAGAAACTGAAATAATAGCGTCCGGAATTTAGAGAGCCACCTACATACAACTGTATTGACCAACATTAATGTTTATGTGTAGCGGCAGCATTACGTGTGCCAACACCGGCAATACGAGAGCACCGAGGGCAAGACTCAATCCAACATATAACATGATAAAGTGCCTGTGTTTCTTGCCATGCGATTCGGACAGATAGCTGACGATGACCGCAAATGGCCCACAAATGCTGCAGAGATGCAAAAACCATTTGAATGAATACAACAAATGTGATTGGCCGCATACCCACAATACTCCATTGAAAAACTTGAAGATCATTAGCTGCGTGGAATTCTGACTGAGGGCGGCGCACATCACACAGACGCCATCCGACAAACCACCAACAATGAGAACAATGCGGCGTCCCATTGTATCCGCCACAAAGCCCCACGGAAACGCCGAAATAATCATGCCTGTCACATACACTAACAAGTGGAGATCAATCAGAAGCTATTCCTTATGAATCGCTTACCTGCAAAGGTTACAGCGTTCATGACACCCTTGTCAAACATCGACAGCTCCAGCTCACACTCAGCTGTGGGCATTATGAAGGACATCGTAGAGCCGGAGAATACCATCGAGAATAAGCATGGCATCGCACAAATTAATATCATTACATTAAATAATCCAAAGCCACATTCAGCAATGGCTGTTTCGAAATCACCGGTATTAACACTCGGACTTGCCATCTAAATCGATATCGAGTTCAAATTAATTTTGAAAATAAATTGCAAGGCTTCCATGTTTATATAGTCAGTAGACTCCGCACGACTAAATTATATGTGTACTATATCTTTGATTTCATCAGCTATTTTCTAAAAAGACAGACCTTCACCTTACCATATGGGTTTATATAGTTAAGGGCATAAATTAATTGCACAAGCCAAGAGAAGTTGGAAATATAAAATTGTCATGGGAAATATAAAATTGTCATGGGTAAACAAGGTATCTACAAAAAATAACTTAAAATTGAACAACTTTGTTAACTCTGTTTTCTTAATATTCCTTCAAATAAAACTTGTTCAGAATATTTGTCAGAATTGGCCAACAATCGAGCACAAGTTCAGTTCTTGTATTAAATCTTATATATTTCTGAACTTGGCAATTGAAGTACTAGTAGTACTTGTGATACTATATCAACATCTGATAGGTTTATCAAATATTTGATATTCTCTTATATTCTTTATCCTATTTTGCAAATTATGTTATAGACTGACTTTCATGGGCTTTCATTAATTTTAACAAAATGCTGCGAATTTAATATTTCCACATACACTGCTGTGCTTCACAAGCTAATCGAACGCACTCATTCATAATTTTTAACCAATATTCTCTCAGCAGTGCCTTACATATATATATATATATATATATATATATATATATATATATATATATATATCATATATATATATATCATATATACATGCACCAAACTAACATCCAGCCCGCATTAATTGGTGTCGATGAGTATATTGCAGTTTTCCACTTGTTTCATTTTTGTGCTTATCGTTATTTGGTTTAACCCGTTTATTTACTCATGCATTGAATTTTTCCTAATTTGGTAATCGAATATATAAATTAATTAAGTACTTCATATATCAAAATTAATCTCCATTATAGTAATCACATTACATATGCACATATGCTATTCTACTTTTTATGGAATATATCATTTTGCATTTATAATTTTAATTCTTGCTTTTTAATAGCTAATGCATTTTTATAATTACATTTACCGGAACGAGCTGACGTAAACTTAAATATATAGTAATACAGTAATCTAGGCAAAATAAATATATTGCGGTGCTTGATGCCATAACAAAATTCTCTTTGTGAATCATAGGCTAGAATCATCCATCTTTTCCCCGTCCAAGCTTCATACACTTCTTCTAAGAGATTCGGCTGATTCTGGATTTTATGGAACAATAAAAATACGGTTAAAAACAACAACCAAATCTGCATTTTTACAATACTATATGCACATATTTTATTTGAAATGGTAGTTTTTACAACTTAGATACAGCAATAATACAACAGTAACTAAGTAAACAATAATTACAGAGCACAAAGCCATAGATTAGCACTTAACTTTTACGTAAATGCCGCTTTTGTTGGATTTGGAACGAAAATTGAGAGCACTGCAGCAACTGCAAGATAAAAGTGTATTTTAGGAATCTTTTTTAATTCAAAATTATATTTGGAAATCGTACGCAGCATGACAAAGGAAACCATTACAAAGGGCGGCACACAACCAATCTGTATCAAAACTGGGAAGAGTAGATTACCAGAGAGTGCGCCCAGGCGGCCACACATCATGGCAGTGGCCACCACCAAAGAGCTATAGGGAAAAAGCAAAGTTTGTATTAGTTTATAGAATAGTTGGACAACTGTAGGTCTTACCGAAACTGTGTGGGAAAAAGAAAAAGGCTGAAGAGAGCACAATTGTTGTCACACCATTCATGGACCAATAAAGCGATATGCCAAGAATACCAGACACAAATAGACCATAAGCTTTACATCGGGGAATATAAAAGAAAATAAATATTTATAAAAATGCAACAAAATAAGACAGCAATATAAGCGATAAAAATTTGTTCTAAGTGTAAATGTAAATAATATTTTAAGGTAGGTTGTGGTCAATAAAACTTTGCTTTCATTTATAATTTTTAATTGATGTATAATTTCCATAAATAGGCTAATTTGTAGGAATTTTTAAAAAATAATTAACAAATAATGGTTATCTTTGACAGGCCGAAGATTACATTCCTGTGCAGATCGGAGTTAATATGTTGGGATCTAAGTTATAGTCTGGAATCGAAATATTATTATGTATGTTAAAAAAAAAATAATGTTTTCATAAGTTTTTTGCTTAACGACTTTGAACTAAATATTCGTCATGTGGATTGTATCAGAAATGGTGGCAAGTACAGACCTGACTATATCGACTCAACACGTGTATAAAAATTATCAAAAAATATCTAACAAAAAATAATATATCCCTATTGTATAATTTAAATTCACTTTCTTTGTGCTTATACCCAAATTTGTCAAACAATACTTAAGCAGTCTAAAATAAAGTAATGCCTTATAAGACTTGATCCTTTGAAGGATGTATTTACTTAGCAATCGCTTGGCACCCCCAATACGCATTAGCCCTCCAGCAATGAAGTAACCGCCAAATCCACAGGCCGAAACGATTATATTGTTAAAGTACATATCCATTGATACAGTTTTGGGCTGTAATAGAATGACAAAAAAAATGATTTCCAAGTCAGAATGATGCAGCAGAATAACAAATAGACGCTGTCAGATAAAAATGTTATCTGATATAACAAGACTCACCTCAGCACAGGCATTCTCATAATTCGTTAACGTCTCAGCTGTTTTATTGACACTGAACTCGAGTATAGTGCACATGGTAGCCGAGGCATCTTTATCATCCGCATGCGCCAACTCATACTCAGCCATGGACGCAAATAGTTGGGGAAGCCAGAGGCGAATTGTGTTCATGCCCAGAAATATGCAGAACTGCATTGTGTAGCAGTGCAACGAGAGGCTGAGCAGCGGTTTGTGGAACATTGGTTTTATTTGCTGCATCGCGGCACGCAAACTTTCCAGCAGGGTGCGTGAATCTGGCTTTGTGGCAACTACCGCTGGTTTTTCATCAATTGTGTAGATGACCTCGTCCTGCTTGGCATTGCGATTGGGCGCCTCCAGAATAAGTGATTTGATCTGTTTAAGCAAACAAGTTGAATTTATTTATTAAAAAAACATGAATAACAAAAAATAAAGATTAAAGAGTGTGTAATTTTACTAAATATCTAATTGGAATTAAATCAATACGCGTAGATGAAGATATAAATATATGCTGAAGTAATATTGAAGCTTAATAGGTTCCAAATACATTTAAATTTTAAGTTCTAAGTCATCAACTACAAACACAAATAATATAATAATAATATATTATTATAAATTATTATTAGTTTTAAAAACAGGTTATATTATTGTGAATTACATTTTAAAAAAGGTTTTAATTAAATTAATTAGGGATCGAAGCAATCTGCTGTATTAATAGAATACATTAAAGAGTCAAATTGAAAGAATGATATTGGGAAAATATACATACTGGATAGCTGTCCTTTGGTTTGCCCGTATTGATGTGATAGATCCTTTGCAGCACATGCAAGGCTTCCACATTGCGTCCATGCGCCATCAGAAATCGGGGACTCTCGGGCATTAGGCACATTATGAGTCCACTAGTCAAACTGGCCAGGCAGCATATAAACAAAAAGATGTGCCAGTTGTGTACTGAAACGTCACATAGATAAGTACCATTGTTTACAATAAAAATAAGATGTAGAATGTTTAACATACTATTTAGACTGCCAAAGAAAACAAAGTCCCATTGTCTGGGAAAGGTGGCCCAAGCCATCAAAGGCAGTAAGAATTGGGAAGCAGATGTAATCATGCCAACCACCATCAGAACTTGGGACCTGTGTTTGGGTCCATGCATTTCCGTTAAATACGTGAAAAGCACAGCTGACGGCCCGTTAACCCTATAAGCGATCGCAAGTTCAAATATACATCTCTCTAATCAAATAAATAGTTAGAGTATTTTTACTTACATAAGCCCGCCGAAAAACTTGAACGTCACGAGCATTATAAAATTTTGACTTAACGCGCTGCCAAACCCGCAAACAAAAGTCATCAAATAGCCGTAGATAAGCACCATGCGACGACCCTTCCTGTCAGCCAAATATCCCCAGGGTATAGCCGAAATTATCATTCCCGCATAGGCACATGCATTCAGAATACCCTTATCCGTTAGAGTTAAATGTAGATCGCAGTCAGCAATGGGCAAAATATATGACATCGTCGTTGATTCGAACATATTTGCACAGGTCGCAGGTATTGCCAACAACAACAACACCAGATTGTAGCGTCCAAAACCGGAGGCAATAATGGCCTTGTCAAAGTCAGCCGGTGCATCTTCTGGCGCGCCGTTTGAGGCAGCGGCAGTGCTATTGGAATCGCCATCGGTATCTGTGTCTCTGTCTGTAATTTGTATAGAATGAAAGCTTGAGTAATCACATTTTTATAGAATTATTGAAGGTTATTAAAGCGTTGTTGTGCCATGCATGTGTAACGAAATGAACAAAAAGTCTCTGGCCACATGAGCCGTTTGTTTGGCATATATCCGCCCATTTGCTTCGGACACTTAGAGTTCGACGCCCGACCGGATCGGACCACCATCATCATTCATATTCAATATAACTACCCAAATGTTGAATATTCACTCCACAAATAGCATATCATATCTATATAAAATTTCTTTAAAACGTATCAAAAATAATATTATTTCGAACTTCGAAATACATTTTGGTATATAATCTCAGATAGCCGTTCTTTCCTGTTTTGAGACACTTCACTTTTATTTGTATATTACATAAATTAATTACATAAATTGTTCTCAAATCTTAAATAACATGTATTTGGCTCTTTTATTTAGAGAAATAAACTTATTTAATGCCTTTCATGACTTTATTTATTTTATTATTTCACATTAGATTCGTTTGAAGATTATCTTTATCATTTTAAACAGATATAAATTTTGACAAGTCATTTTATTGTTGGGTCAACATAAGTGAGGTGTGTTTAGTGAGAGAATTTAAATTTAATTTTATATTTTAAAGTGATTAATTCTTGAAATTAAATAGTTATATTAATATTTTTTTGAATTTCTTAATAATTTTTGATGATCTGTCAATTATTACCTTTTACTTTATTACGATTGACACTTTCAGTATTGTTCTCCGCCATATTTTTGTACTAAATAAATATTCCGTATTTAAATATCACAATTTGTTTTAATTAAGCACTTTATGGGTGCAATCAATTTATATGTCACGTTTTATTATTGAAATGCGCATATCCCACTATATTTTAATAGTGCACTCGTATCACAGATGTTTCACGATTTCCAAGCCTTCGAATTGTTTTGTTTTTCTTCATTCACGCTGCGTGTCTGTTTGCAAGTGATGCGCTCTTATGAATGGCACTGGGTTTTTATCATCGAGTGCAATGGAAAAGTGTAGATTCATTTAAATATACCACTTTCTTATCATTGATAATTCAGCGTCAACATGCTTTCGTAGTTGCCATAAAGATTATGAATACACAAAAAGTTGTTTAACACACTATCCATGTCGAGGCGAGCTGTTAAATAACATTAAATATTTTTAAATGGTTAAAAAAAAAAACTCCAAGTGAAGAGACAAACATATTCCTTAAGCTACAAAAAATAAATCAGTCATTATTTTTAACTATATTTTTCTAATTACAATTTTTTAGCTACAAATATGTTATTTAAATCAAATATCTTTGACCTAATGAAAATATAGATAAAAGTATAATACTAAATTACAATCATTATTTTTTTGTCTTCATTTTTAATTAAATTTTAGAATATATTTACTCCGAGTTAGAATCAGGCTAGTCAGATCGGGAATTATTTGCCTATGGAGCAGATCATGGGTTAAGCAGTTTACAAAATTTGACACTTACAGTCATTAGAAGTCCCAGACCTACAAGTAGCAACCAAGTTGGCTTTGGACAACGTGTTCATCACTGAGTAAGCATAATTGAAAGTTTACCCAACTACTTACTTTTAGTTTATTCACAGTATAATAACTCATAATACTAGAAATTAACAGTAGCTTGTCATGAAATCTTTTGTTTTGGGAGTGTCTCTCAGAAACAGATGACAATTCATGCACACCAGAATGATAAAATGAATGCAATGCATGTCACTTAAATCGTAATACAGTTGCATCGGTATCAGAGTATAGAAATTATTCCAAAACATTCGTAAAAGCTATTCTCTATTGGATTGGGAATACAAAATGTAGTGCACAGAAGAAACTGCAACTTCAAAATGGATACAATTATGCAAATGTTGGTAACAGATGAATAGATGATTAACTAATGAATATATGAATATTTTATGGTGAATAGTTGATTGAATAGATAACGAATATCTGATTACTTTAATCCACTCCAACTAATATATATTTCAATGCATAGAGTAGACTTGGAATATAGATAAATGTAATTAATTTATTTCTTATACATATGTCATTAATTATGGTACAATTTCTTTTTTACATTGTTTAGATTAAGAGAAATCTTCTCCCATATTTGTAACCCAGTCGTGTATATCAGTCAATGGCATCCACCAGCTTGCACATCATGCGATCGTGCTGATAGCTTGGATCGTTTTTCGCCGCCGCATTCGATTCTAGAGGATCCACTTCCATTTTGACTTTGGCCCCGCCAAGCTCATCATCATCATACAGCTTAGGCAGCGCAGAGAAGGCGCTGTTTACAATATCACGCACACGTTCCAAGTGCTTCTGGAAACGTGTTGCGGTCTCCACGCGTTGTCTCTTCTGCATTTCCATCATCACTCGCAGAGTTTCGCGCGCCTGATGCGGCCTGAACTCGTTCAGTAAATGATGCATATTCACGAACAGCAAACTCAGATCATCAATCTGTGAAAAGTAGAAAGAAAAACTTATAAATACCATGAACATCACACAATAAGCACTCTGAACACACTTTCTCTGTGCGCCGTGGACTATCGGGATTCAGTATCAAAAAATCAATGAGATCCAGAAAGTTGACGAGCAGCGAGTGATTCAGCTTCTTGAGCTCCTTGCGCCGGTCAAAGTGTATGGGTATCAAGCGCTTGATATTCTGTGACTCTAGGGAGCGAATCATCTCGTCGTTGTTGTACTGAATGCCGAACATGCTGTAGACTTCATGCTGTGATGGCGGCGGCGGTGGACGCGGTGCCCGATTGCGTCTAATGTTCTCCTCCGTGTAGTTGCTAATGTAACGCTCCGGCGGCATTGGCAAACTGGGCACCTGTGTCTCGGCGTTGGACATCTTGTGCGTCTATTTTGAGAGCCACTAGCAATATTTGCAATTTGTTTTTTTATTTTGCCACCAACAAATGAAAATATTTCGTTGTCAGTGTGACCGTCGCGCACAAAGTGCAAAATACCAGCAAAAACTATAAATAATAAATAATACTAAAATATAAACTATTAATCTATTTTAAAATCGTTTCGAATTCAATAATTGATCTAATTTTGGGAAATTCTCAAACAAAAAAATTGTAATAATTTATTTCTCATTTCAGACACATTTATTTATATTATAATTGGCCGACTATTTAACGTGCACCTTCCAAAAGGACAATTTATTGTCGGATGCCGCAGTGATGTACGGCAAGCGCTGATGCCATGCTAAACCGCCATAGGTCTTCAAAGGCGCCTCGATAATCGGTACCGTTGACTTGCCTACAAAGACCTTAAGCGTAAGATCGGGTCGACCAATGCTGGCCATGGCGACCTCACCGCTGCCTGGCGCAAAGCGGACAATGCGACCGCCATCCTCGTGCACCTGCTTCACATCGGCCGGCTTGAGGGGACGGCTAAGATCCCATGTGACAATATCACCACCGGCCAAAGCTGTCACAAACAGTCGATTGCTCTGCGCCCAATCCGCAGACATGAGCGGAAATTTCGGTGATTCGACGGAGACAACGGTCTGCTTGCTGCGCACATTATACAAATGGATGATGCCTAAATTAGATGTGTGTTAAAAGTAGATTGAATAAATATTCATAGAGTATGCATATACCACGCTTTTCAGCTACAAGGACTTTGTTGGGCTCATCGGGATGGGATTTAATCGACATGCCCGCCGATGATAGACAGAACGTAATAATATTCTTTATATTTGTTGTTCCCATTTGCATGTCGGTTGTAATGTCCCAGAAACGGCAGGTGTAATCATCGCTCACCGACGCCAGCAATTCGCCGTCGCAGACCCAGGCAATGTCATTGACATAGTCGCTGTGTCCATTGAGGGATATGACGTCTGACTTCTCGTTGAGGTCTGTTTGAAACAATCGAATTTCGCATTTTCCAATCGCCGCACAAACGGTGACTTTACTTGGTTTCGCATTCAGTGAAGTGTCCGGCGAAAAGGCGATTTTGTGACAGCGTGTGTCCGTTCCTGGTGTTTCCATTTCACATATCTGCAAATCCTCCAAATGGCTCCACATAAGCTCACCACTCTCCTCCTAATATTATATATAATACTTTTATAATGGGATTAACTTTCGTTTAATTGAAATTTTCACTTACCGGCAAACTAATGGTAATCAATGAGAGATGTTTCCACTGTGCAACGCATATAAGGTTATATGCAAAATCGTTGGTGCATATCTCATAGCAACTGATGTTGTGAGTCAATGCTATGGTATCAACAGGTTCTGTTACTGTTCGCATATTTACGTGCTTTTTATAAAAATCAACAAAAAAATGCAACAAAATTCCCGGCGCCAATATTTACCCGTGTGTTGAATAAATACGCTATGCTCTACAATAAGTTGGCAGGGCTACGGTTAAGCAACACTGTACATATGTAAGCGCAGCCAACTTCGCTTCATGGAATTCGAGTTGGCAGCACTGTCTACAGTTGGCGTGGTCAACTTCGCTTAACCAGCATTCATTTCCTTTCTTTCTGTTTCAGCGTCTGAAGTGAACAGACGTCATGGTAAGTTTCGCTCTGGAAAATTAGTGAAAATTGTGCAAGTGCAACTTTATATACTCACAAATATAATAGAAAAATGATTGATAAACTAGTGAAATGCAGCGGATGCATAAATTAAAAGAAATTTGCTGTGCTGCTAAAGTGTTATTTTCTATTTAGTCTTGTAATTTTTTTCTTCACACGTGTCTGCCGCTGCAACTCAGACATAACCTCAAAGAAAAGTAGACAGAAATGCAAAATATGCTTGACGGAAATGTTTAAACAATGTTATGTTAATCATTGCCTCATTGTTCATATTTACAGTCTCATCGTAAATTTTCTGCGCCTCGTCATGGCTCCATGGCCTTCTACCCCAAGAAGCGCTCCTGCCGTCACCGTGGCAAGGTTAAGGCATACCCCAAGGATGATGCCAGCAAACCAGTGCATCTGACTTGCTTTATCGGCTACAAGGCCGGTATGACGCACGTTGTGCGCGAGGCCGATCGTCCTGGTTCAAGTGAGTACCAATTTTCCTAGTGTTTCATTTGTATAATCAATTTTCCATGATGAGGAACAGTTAAATTATTATGGTTAGAACACATATGATAAAACCGTGATTATTAATTAACTAGGGCGGACTGATTTGCATTTTAATTCGTATTTTCGATTACCTGAAAACCATGTGCTGCTCTAACCTCAAACAATTTGTGCTTACCGCTTGCAGAGATCAACAAGAAGGAGGTCGTTGAGGCTGTCACCGTTTTGGAGACGCCACCAATGATTGCGGTTGGTGCCGTTGGCTACATTGAGACGCCATTCGGTCTGCGAGCCCTGGTCAATGTTTGGGCTCAGCATTTGTCCGAGGAGTGCCGTCGTCGCTTCTATAAGAACTGGTATGTAACGAAAGACTGGTCGCCATTTTGTGTATACGAGTCGCACACGTGGTTGCTGCAAAGTTGCTTGGTCTGCTGCATGCTATGCTGAATGATGATAAGATGGTATCTGAATATATGTTGTCGAAAAGCCTTCTACCATCACTGCTGCCTTCCTTCTGATATCACCAGCTGCAACATAAAAGTTTTAACTGCAACAGCCGCCTGTGCGATTTGAATACATTTAGACTAACTTTAACTAACTCGTACAAACGAAAAACATAAAGTTCTTCGATCAGTTCGCTGAGAGAGCTTTTTAAATCGATGCAAGTCGTGTGAGCTAATTTGGCATCTTTGTGGCCATTTTACGAGTGAGCACGTCATGGAAGATTGTCATCTCCGCTCGCTTTCAAATTGCGATGAGGTGTGCTTCCCGTTTTATCTCTCGCCCCCTTGCACAGAGACGACGCAGATCACAATTGGTGTTCGATCGACTGGCTCTGTACTAATTTAGCAAATCCTCCAAAAACTTCAACTCCCTATCAGGTTCAAGAGCCAGAAGAAGGCTTTCACCAAGGCCAGCAAGAAGTGGACCGATGATTTGGGCAAGAAGAGCATTGAGAACGATTTCCGCAAAATGCTCCGCTACTGCAAGGTCATCCGTGTGATTGCCCACTCCCAGGTAAATAATTTCTTTATTTATCATATCCACTCCATAACGTCCTCTACAAGCGCGCGACGTCCTTGGTCTTGTTGCGCCGACTGTGCCTCGGTGTGGTCGGTGCGACCTGGCTTAAAAGGCATTTATGCTGTGTTTATCTCAATGCACAGTTTAGGAATGCAACGTCGCAGATCAAATTGCCCTTCGGGTGGCGATGCTTGATATATTCCAGTAACGGTGCGCAGCCGTTCAGGCGATGATCGCTCGGTTAAACCATATCACGCACAGTCCCAAACTTTCATTGTCCCAACTGTTGTTGTATGTAATGTTAAAATATGAATTAAAAGTTTAAACCGTTTGTTTTTGGCATTTTAGATCCGTCTGATCAAGCAACGCCAAAAGAAGGCGCATATCATGGAGATCCAGCTGAACGGTGGCTCCGTCGAGGATAAGGTCAAATGGGTGCGTGAGCATCTTGAGAAGCCCATTCAGGTCAGCAAAGTGTTTGGCCAGGATGAGATGGTCGATTGTGTGGGCGTTACCAAGGGTAAGGGCTTCAAGGGTGTCACCTCGCGTTGGCACACCAAGAAGCTGCCCCGCAAGACGCACAAGGGTCTGCGCAAGGTCGCTTGTATTGGTGCCTGGCATCCGTCCCGTGTGTCTACCACGGTGGCACGTGCTGGTCAGAAGGGTTACCATCACCGTACTGAGATCAACAAGAAAATCTATCGCATCGGTGCCGGTGTCCACACCAAGGATGGCAAGGTAAGCATATGAAACGGTTTAAATACAGTCTCCTCCCGCCCCCTGCTCAATGATGATAAAAAACATTAATAACGACATCGAAATAAATAAAACATTTGATGAACCGTGATATTTATAATGATAGGACTGACAAGCAATTCAAAGAATCCCTTTATTTGTGTCTTTACCTTGTCTTTGTGGCACATGTCTAATATATTTACATATCTTGATTGCTTGCAGGTCATCAAGAACAACGCCTCCACGGAGTACGATTTGACCGACAAGAGCATCACCCCCATGGGTGGATTCCCCCATTATGGTGAGGTCAACAACGACTTCGTCATGATCAAGGGCTGCTGCATTGGCTCCAAGAAGCGCATCATCACCCTGCGCAAGTCGCTGCTGCGTCACACCAAGCGCTCGGCCCTGGAACAGATCAAGCTCAAGTTCATCGACACCTCGTCCAAGATGGGTCATGGTCGCTTCCAGACCCCAGCCGACAAGCTGGCCTTCATGGGTCCCCTCAAGAAGGATCGCCTCAAGGAGGAGGCAGCTGCAACCACCAGCGCTGCTGCCACCGCCGCCACCACCACTTCTGCCTAAGCGGATGGCATACAATTTTTGTACAACAACAAAATGAGCATATTTGGTGTTTCTTCGCCAACTTCTATCGTCCTCGTTGCGGTGGGGTTGGCGCAATAAATGTGGTTTTGAATAAGCTAATAACAACTAAAAACAAATGGTTTAAATTATGAATGGGATTTAGAAACGTGTTTTTGGCTTGTGAATATAGTTCACGAATATAACTTGGAAAAATCATACTTGACTCGTTGAGATTAACTACGTCTCCAAGAGATTAATATAAAGATGATACTATTAACTACCGCCCCAGATAAAAGATGTTAGTAGCGCAACTCAATTTAGGGCCAAACTAAAACAATTTTTAATACTTGATGAATAGTTAAGACAAAAAACGATTACAGTTGAATTTTAAACAATTTTGAAAATTGATTCACTTATTTTACTGCTGAATATTGAGTTGTTGTTTAATTTGGTTCGAAGAGCTTAATTATATTGTAATTCGGAGCAAACTTAATTTAGAACTATTAACTGATACAAAGCTTAATAAATGGATATATAAGATGCGTATTATTGTAATGAATATTAATTAATACAAAGCTTAATATATAAATAAATAAAATGGGTGTTGTTAAATAATATTCGAGACAATCTTAATAATTTAGAATATTAATTAAAAGACAGCTTAAATAAAGTGCATATTTTGAAGCAACCAGAGAGATAACCAAATGAATATGAACATTTGAATATTTGCATATATCGAATAAGAAATGACAGTTTGGCTAAATGGAAATAAGCATAAATATTATCAAGTTGTGTGCATCGGTGGGGGATTATTGGGATTGTTTAATCCTCTTTGGAGAGGCTGCCCAAATCGCTGAGAAAGATTTCGGGTGTGAGGACATGCGAGGAGCCAATGAGGACCTCCCAGTTGCGCACCGTGTTGGTGACCTCGTAGGCGCAACGCATTTCCGACATGCTCACGCCGCCCACTACGAAAATGATAAGGCGTGGCACATTCTTGACTTGCGCCTGTGCCTTATCCTTGTGCCAGTGGCCATAGCGAGCGGTGGTCGGTGCATGATAATTGGTATTCTGGGCACGTACCTCGAGGAAAGGGAAATGACGCTGATCCAGCTTGTCCTCAATGCAATCCTCCATAATGTCCTTGATGACCGGTGTCCAGCGCGACATCTGATAGGCACTCTCTGTAGTGCGCTCCTTGCGCGGCACCGTGTACACCTTCTTGCGCGAATCGGCCAGCACATTGATACCCAGATGGCTCAGATTACGCACCATGTCCTGATCCTTGGCTGACAGCTGGGCATGTGTAAACAGCTTGGTCAGATTGTCATCGGCGATGCCGTTCTTCGTCATTACATAGAGCGCAATGATGCGCACCTTGTCGTAGTTGGAAACATTCGCATCGAGCAAAATGGGCACAATATTGCGCATATGATCCTTAATCTTTTCGCCCTCGGCATCGGTGCCCATGGCAAGATCCTGTTCGACACGGCACAACTTATCCACATAGTTCTGATACACTTTCATGCAATCCTCGGCGAGATGCAAATGCGTCGAATATTTGGACAGCTCCTTCTGATACTGCGGCATCTTCTTGATCATCTGCGAAAGATCGCGCATCGATGACTTGTCCGTGGAGCCCATGCGCTTCGAGTCCGTGAACTTCTTCAGATTCTGCGTGACTTGTGTGGAGACGACGGCAATATGCTCGTGACGCAACTCCACCCACAAATCATCATTCTCATCGAGCAGTACCTCCTTGTCCGGCTGATTGGGTCCCGGCGTATAGCGATACACATCGTTCACAATTGGCAACAGATCATACGCCATCGCCTGAAGCGTTAGCTCGTGTAGCAGCGGTGACACACAATCGAATCCACGGTCCAGGATTAACAGCTGCGATCGCGACTTCTCTGGCCCCTCGCCCATTGTCGGCTCATCGGCCTTGAACGCATCCAGTTTCTGTTGCACTGCCGCAGCCAAATCGATATTGCGATCCCAATCGTTGCGATATCGCACACTTGGATATTCACCCAGAGTGGCGCACAGCGCGGCAATCTGATCGGAAATGCGCTCGATGTGCTTGCCGCGTATCGAGGCGAATGCCGGCGAATACAGGCACTGGAACGTGTCCGGCGAATCCAGTGAGAACACCTGGCATTCATACGGTAGAAATGCAATGTTTATCTCCTTCAGTGTCTTGATCTTTCTGGCCGCGCACGATTTGCACAAATCATTAAATAGCGATTCGGGGCAGACTTCCGTAAAGAAAACGTGCGCATAGCGATACATGGGACGTGCCGGATTCTCAAAGTCACGGATCAGGGCGCGCACAGACTCATCCGATGGCGTTATTAAATAGATGGCACCCATTGTCGGCAGCGGTTCGCGCTTCTTGTTGATGTCCTCCACCAATGTGATGCCCTCGGCACTAATCTCATGCATCTTGGTGCAGGCGGACACCATTCGCATGCCCAACTTATCCACGACAAGGACACGCCACTCAATGCCACCGGCACCGGCTCCTGCTGCTGCTGGAGCGCCAACTTTCTTCGGTGCTGCGGGCGGCTTGTATTTGACCACCTCGTTCATAATCTTTTGGCTGACCAACACTTTCAGTGCCATTTCTCACTAGATTTTTCGTTGTTTTTGCAATTAATCAATATGCAAAATGTTCTTGAAAACTAAAAATGAAATACAAATAATAATCGAGTACCGAACGTCGTTGAAAACGCGGCTAATATAATTAGTTTGCTGAAATCGATGCTTATTTTGTTTTTTTTTTTTTATGTATGTAAATAATTGCAGCTTGTGGGAAAAAAACGTCAGTTTTCCTGCTTGGCAGAGATGTTTTTTTTCTTCTTTCGTGAATTAACCAAATAAGATTACACATTGCGCAGGTCGGGCATCTCTGTTAAAGAAATCAGCTGTTTTCGTAACAGTAACCTGGACAATAACATTGTCATTGTGCATTTGTAAATACAAATATTAAGTATCTGCCTATTTATACACTACGTAAGTAGACTTGCCGAATCTGTAAATATGTCTGTTTCTATTTTATACAATTTAGCGCTATTTAAGGAATAATATACAAATTGCATACGAATTTAAAGCCCAACTGCCAGCATTAGCAAGTGTGACGTAAATGTTATGCTAAATCTTGATCTGCGTAATCTTCATCTTGCCATAACGGTTATTTATGCACTGCTTGAATTGCATACCTTACTGTTATATTTGAATCATCATTCATATTCATTCATATATCATTTTTACATGTAAAAAGTTAAGATACATAAATCCATGTCCTTCCAGTTACTAAGGCAACCTCACATCGGTAATCACCTGCTCATTGTCGTAAATCTCCTTGGCATAGCACAGATTGGGATAGTCGAAAGCGGCACCATAGCGATTCCTGCAGCCAGTGGTGGCCTTCTCGCCGGGAGTGTACACAGGCTGGCCAACGAAGTTCGTGGTGGCAAAGTTGCAGGTCAGCACGAAGTGGTTGTAATAGTCGCGAGAGAATCTCACAGCGGCACAGCCCAAATGGGTGTTCTTCTCGGCAACGGCAATGGTGAACTTGGCCACATTCCTGTTGGGCAACTCCTCGGGGAAGCTGGCCAGCATGTCAGGCGATGTATTAGCGCGCTCCTTGAACCAGTTCTCAATCTGTTCCTTAATTATCTCAGCATCTGTGTACTCAGACTCAGCACCACTATAACTGAAGATGGCATTATTCTGCCCGGCATAGGCGAAGCGTTCGGTACTGCGGCACTTGTCTGGCAGAGACTGGCACGTCTTCACGTTGAACAGAGCCAGATGGGTGAGCTCCTCGCACCATGTCATCTTTGCCATGCGCACTGCTCTGGGCAGACCCTCAATGCCGCCACCAGCAACATTATTTCGCAGCTCATTGAACAGACTTAGGATTAACTTCTCATGTGGCTGAATCTTTACCTCTCGCACACTCTTAGGGCACTCCTCACTGAACTCCTGCAATGTGGTGATATTGGAAGGTGGTGCTGGAACTATTAGACTATAAGTCACTTACTCCCTTGTTGTTGCAGGCAATGTGCTTGTCCAGGCAGGTGGGCAAGGCACAGTAGTCCACAGCGAAAGCAAATCCCAATAGGGCAGTCAGCAGGAGAAATGCATTCATTATTGACGGATTTAGTTGATTGCACAGAATGTTTTTCACTTAACTGATGCTTGACTGGCAAAAGAGTGTCGTATTTATAGCAGTCGACTCAGCACAAGTACTTGGAAACGCTGTATCCAATATAAGTTACTGGAATCACGCACATGCATTTTGTTGGTCTACATGTGTTCCTATGCTTATACAGAAATCAAGCAATGTTCTGTTTTCTGATTTCTGATTTGCAATCCAATCCAAACACCTGTTTAACTGCTCATCAGTTAGTTGATTCACACTATTTGAAGTTCTTTGTTCGTTTTGGGTATAAAATGAGCAACTTGTGCGGATTTTCTTCAGTTGCCAGCCGACCACTACATTAAATCAAGATGTTGTCTAAGGTAGTCAGCTTTATCCTGCTAGCCACAGCTCTTGTTGGCCTCGTCGCTAGTGTCGACTACTGTGCCTTGCCCACCTGCCTGGACAAGCACATTGCCTGCAACAACAAGGGAGTAAGTGACTTATAGTCTAATAGTTCCAGCACCACCTTCCAATATCACCACATTGCAGGAGTTCAGCGAGGAGTGCCCTAAGAGTGTGCGAGAGGTAAAGATTCAGCCACATGAGAAGTTAATCCTGAGTCTGTTCAATGAGCTGCGAAATAATGTTGCTGGTGGCGGCATTGAGGGTCTGCCCAGAGCAGTGCGCATGGCAAAGATGACATGGTGCGAGGAGCTCACCCATCTGGCTCTGTTCAACGTGAAGACGTGCCAGTCTCTGCCAGACAAGTGCCGCAGTACCGAACGCTTCGCCTATGCCGGGCAGAATAATGCCATCTTCAGTTATAGTGGTGCTGAGTCTGAGTACACAGATGCTGAGATAATTAAGGAGCAGATTGAGAACTGGTTCAAGGAGCGCGCTAATACATCGCCTGACATGCTGGCCAGCTTCCCCGAGGAGTTGACCAACAGGAATGTGGCCAAGTTCACCATTGCCGTTGCCGAGAAGAACACCCATTTGGGCTGTGCCGCTGTGAGATTCTCTCGTGACTATTACAACCACTTCGTGCTGACCTGCAACTTTGCCACCACGAACTTCGTTGGCCAGCCTGTGTACACTCCCGGCGAGAAGGCCACCACTGGCTGCAGGAATCGCTATGGTGCCGCTTTCGACTATCCCAATCTGTGCTATGCCAAGGAGATCTACGACAATGAGCAGGTGATTGCCGATGTGAGGTTGCCTTAGGAATTGGGAGATATGATGCATAAGTTGAATGATTGACAAAACCGATATGTAATACAAAGCATTGGTTCGAAAATAATATAGTTAAATAAAAGCGAGCACATTTAACGAGATTTTCAACAAGTTGGCAATTCGAACCGTTATTCATTGAAAGCAGCGCTGCAAAGACTTCGATAACTGTTACTATCGAGGTATCGATATGTTATTACAACAAAAATTGAAAATGTTACGCGAGGCGTTGCGAATTGGAAGCCGACGCAGTTACAGCTACAAATCTGTGCGTCGTCCCAATTTAAATGTGGCAGCGGTGTCCAAAGCGAACAGTGTGAAACCGAAGCAGGAGCAGTCAAATACACTAGAGGATGCTGCTGGCCATGGCATTAGCCGGGGTAACCTGACCAAACAGCTGACCGCTAAAATGCTTGCCACCGGCCCTATTACAGTGGCAGAGTATATGCGGGAGGTGCTCACAAATCCGCAAAGTGGCTACTACATGCATCGGGATGTGTTTGGACGGGAAGGTGATTTTATCACATCGCCAGAGATATCACAGATATTTGGAGAGGTGAGCAAAAGTGAGCTGCATATCTCCGCAGATAATTTTAGTTCAATTCCACCGCCAGCTTGTGGGCATATGGCTGTTGGCCGAGTGGCAGAAACTGGGTAGTCCTTCACCGTTTCAGCTGGTCGAGCTGGGACCGGGACGTGGCACATTGGCGCGCGATGTGCTCAAGGTGCTGACCAAGTTTAAGGCGGGAGCCGATTTCACCATGCATATGGTCGAGATTAGTCCGTATTTGAGTCAGGCGCAAGCGCAGCGTTTCTGCTATAAACATGAGACGGTGCCGGAGGAGGCGCAGTTGCCACACTATCAAGTGGGCACCACCGCAACGGGCGTCCAAGCCTTCTGGCATCGGCACCTGGAAGATGTGCCGCCCGGGTTTTCCCTGGTGTTGGCGCACGAGTTCTTCGATGCGCTGCCTGTGCATAAGCTGCAACTGGTCAACGGTCAGTGGCTGGAGGTGCTCATCGATGTGCCCAGGACACAAGAAACGGAGACGAAGAACGCTGACTTTAGCTATGTGTTACCCAAGTCACAGACGCCAGTGTCGCGTTTATTTAAGCCTGTGCCGCAGGAGACGCGCAGCTGCTTGGAGTACTCGCTGGAAACGGAGCGACATGTGGGCTTGCTGGCGGATCGTTTGGAGCGGCAGGGCGGCATTGCGCTCATCATGGACTACGGTCACTTGGGCGACAAGACGGACACATTTCGTGCCTTCAAGCAGCATGCGTTGCACGAACCGCTGCTGGCGCCGGGCACTGCGGATCTGACGGCCGATGTGGACTTTAGGCACATCAAGCATGTGGTGGAGACGCACAATCAAGTCCACTGTTGTGGACCAGTGCAGCAAGGCGATTTTCTGTCGAGAATGCAGGGCGAGCTTCGACTGGAGCAACTGCTGGCCAATGCACTGCCCGAGAATCAGGATATTATACGCTCCGGCTACAAGATGCTGACCGATGCCAATCAAATGGGCAGCCGCTACAAGTTTCTGGCCATGTTTCCGGGTGTAATGGCTGAACACCTAAAGAAATATCCCGTGGCAGGCTTTTCATAATATTAGTTGATTATTTATAAATGTGGGGATACCTGTTCGATACCTAAAATATCTAGTTTTTATCGATTAGAATCGATAGGAATAAAAGCCGCAATTTTAAAGCTAACATTCAATGCTATTGTTGAAAATTGAGCTTGTCCGTTAATTTGTTTAATTCTAAATAAAGACAGATTTCTTTTTTAAGATTTCGGTTATGGAGGACCTTCCTGGGGAACTGCCCATAAATTATATTAAACATAGTATTTATTTTGATGTACATATGAACTACTCAGTAATGGAAAAACTGTCAAGATACTACTTCCTTTGGAATGCGGCGTTAATCGTCTGCATCTCGAGGGTGGTAAACTGCAGAACGGCGCTGATGGCGTTCAGCATGTGACGCTTGTCATCCGCATCCCGGGTGACAATGAAGCTAATGATGACGTTCTTCAGGTACTCCAAATTAGCCCCTTCGCGCGTCTTGCAGCGCTCCAGCCTGAGAAACGAAAAAGGAAAAATGTTAACCGAGAGACTAGCTGAAGAGTTGCGACTCACCTGTCCACCTGCTCCTCGAGATACTCAATCTTCTCGTGCATCTCCTGCTGGGCGCTGACCTTGTCCTGTATAGCCTTGCGCAACGTGGACTCGGCAGCATATTTAGATTTGCGCAGCGTGGTTATTTCAATGTCCTTCCTCGCCAGCTCATTGGCATAGTGCAGCATGTGACAGTTGTCGCCCAGGGATAGCTTTTTCGGCTTTACCTTAAGCTTTGCCTCGCGTTCACCCTCCACATCCGCTACGCTGTCCGCGTCAGAGGAGTAGGCAAAGGATTCAGTCGCCTCCAGTGGCGATGCATTGGGCTTGTGAAACACTTCGAAGGAGGTTTGCAATGTTTTAATCTCCTGCTCCTTCTCGTCGAGCAGCTGCAGCGATCGTTGCCGCTGCTTCTGCAGCAACTGTTCCAGCTCATTCAGCTTGCAGCGCGTCTCATTCTCCAGCTCCGCTTTCGCCTCCTGCCACTTGGCACGCTCATTCTTCAGGGCCATTCGCATCTTGTCGCCCTGCTGCTTTAGCTCCAGCTCGGCGTCGTCTATGTTGCGATTAAGCACCTGCACCTTATCCTGCAGCGTCTGTATGTGCGTCTGCTGCAATTGGATCTTCTGCTCCAGCTGAGCACGCTGATGCTTATTTGTGTCCAGCAATTGTTGTTGTAGATTCTGAAGCTGCTGCTCGCACTGAACATGACTGTCGACGGCTTTCGCTGCATGGCTACTGCCGATGCTGCCGAGCACTTGGCTCAGGTCAATGGGATTCGAGGAGCGGGCGTTGGCATTGATAAGCAGCTTCTTCAACCGCACAATCTCATCCACCAACGAGCCCATGTCCGCATCGCTGAGCAAACCCGGTGCGGGCGCATTACCCTTGTGCGCCTGCTCCAGTTCGTGCAGCTGCTGCTTGAGCGCATGTATGTTATCCTGATCCTGTTGACGCAGTCGATCATAGCTGCCTACGGTGCTGCTCAGTTCGGCCAGGCGCGCCTCCAGATTAGCCACACGATCCTCGTGCAACGCCGTCTGTCGTCGACTCTGTTCCTCGGCACGCAGCACACGGCGCTGTTCCTGTTTGATTGCGACAGCATGTTGTTCCTTGAGCTGCTGCATCTCTTGGCGCACCTGCTGCAACAGTGCACTGTTCTCCGACGCCTGGGCAGCAGCCGTTGTCTGGTCTGCCTTGGCTTGGCTATGCTTTAGCTGCGCACGCGCCTCCTTCAGCTGCAGCTGAAGCTCACGCAGTCGACTATTCTCGCCCTCATTGCTGGCGAACTGGGTCTTGAAGTTGTTCAGCTGCATCTCGATGTTCTCCTTAAGATGACGCTCATCCGCGTAGAGTTTTTGCAGTTCACGCAGCATAATCATTTGATTGTTGGTCTCCTTCTCACGCTCCTGCCGCTCCACAATCCACTTGGCCTTCACCTCGTCGACGTCTTGCTTGGCACGCAATTGCTGCTCCTTAGCCTTGGCCTGCAGCTCCTGAACGGTCTGGTCCTTCTGGGCAATTTGCGTACGCAACTGCTTCTTGTCCGCCTGGAACGAGGCCTCCATACGTGACTTTTCCGCTGAGAGCGTCGCCAGCGAATTCATTAGCGTTATTATTTGCGTCTGCAGTTGTCCCCTATCATCATCGCTGCCCCCATCAGCCGCATCTGCGCTGGCACTGGGCACATCGCAGGGATTAGCGCCTGGATCGCTGGCGACGGCCGTGGCCTCAGCATGCGCCGCCAAACTGGTCTCGAGCGCCTCCTTCTCTTTGAGCAAACCCTTGTACGCAGTAACCACGTCTGCAATTATATTTTTTCTGTGAGTCAAACGTCAATTTAATGCTTTGTTTATTGCACAACAAGTCACCTTTCAAGCGTTTCTCGTAGCGCGACAATTGCTCCTTTTGAGTGCTCACTAGCGACTCCAGCTCGCGCTGTCGTTTTTCCATGTCACATTAGTTCCAAATTCACAATAAGTCTACTGTTTCCTGCAACACTAAACACTGCAATTTATTTTTTCTCTCGTGGCATTTTGGCACTCATTTAATTGACAAACAAAGCAAGCGGCTGTTGCAACGGCTCCGAAATGCCCTTTAATTTCAGAATGCATATACCTACTTTTCAAAATAAATATTCTTAATATTAAATATATTTAGGATCTTTGCTTTATATTTAACTTTTTTTTTTAAATTAAATTTAGATGAGTATATGTATATATATATAATTTAATTAATTCTATGCCAGTTACACATTACAAAGACAATTTAATGTACCTTAAAATACAACAAGTGCTACCAGCTGACGATAGTGCTGCCAACTTGTCTGTGTACATTTAGCTTATGCTCAATTTTTTACGTATTTTTTTATCGATTACTCATTGCCCTCGTCTTTCATCATTTGTTCGATTAAACGTTTGCGCTCCGCCGCCTGGCGCATCTTACGCATGACCAAATCCTCATAGTCCCGCGTTGTTGCACCACTCGACGCCGTCGTTGGTTTGTCGTTTGTTTGTTTATCTTGCGCCGGCGGCGTCACCCATTGAAAATGCAAAGGATTTGCCGAATTACCTTTCTCATAGGCCAAGATCATGTCGCAGGCTTCGCGCGTCTTTAGCTCTACCATGGCGCGACCCCGTATTTTCGCGTTCATGACCAGTGCGACCACCTCGCCGTATTTTTTAAGATACTGCATCAGCTTATCCTGCGTGTAACCGCCATTGGTGGCATCGCTCTTCTCCGCCTTCCATTTTATCTTGATGCGATGCGTGGCGGAGTCAAAGGTGGATGCATTATCTTGTTGCCGCTGCTGCTGTTGCTCATTATAGTTGCGCTGTAGATGCTCCCGCATTGCTCGCTGCTCCTCCTCGAGCAGCTTAGAGCCCTCGCGCCGCAGCCGCTCAACTTGCTCATGCAGCACCTCCTCATCGCTCTTACTCACCTTGCTGTAAGGTTGTCCTGCTTGCAGTTTGCTTAGCGCAGCTCGTTCCCGCTGCTCCAGTTCCTCTTTCAGTTTTTGCCGTTTGCTGTCCAATTGCTTCGTACGCAACTCGGCGGCCTTTTTCGCTTTCAGCACCTTGTCGTAAGCGGCACGAGCCGACGCATCGCTGAGTATTTCCAGGGCCTTAGATAGTTCATGGAAGCGCTCAGCCGCCTGGGGATTGTCGGGATTTTTATCGGGATGGCAGTCGAGGGCGCGTTTTCGATACGCTTTGCGTATTTCGGCTTGCTCGGCTTCGATGGATACGCCGAGCAGCTCGTAGAGGTTCACATCGCTATACTTCTTGTTGCTGGCCATTTTCACCTAAATGTCTGGCGCAATTTTATAAGTTGACAAACGTTTTGCTTACAGTGGGCATCAGCTGTTCATTGCAACAAGTTGGCAGCGCCGCTGCCGCAACATGTGCAATGTGTCTTATTATTTTTGTTATAATGCATAATACAAAGTGATAAACAACGTGGAAATTGAGCAATAAAGCAATGAGCATCTACCACGATGAGGTTGAGATTGAGGATTTCGAATATGACGAGGAGGAGGAGATGTATTACTATCCATGTCCCTGCGGCGATCGATTTCAAATTTCGAAAGTAAATCAGAATCGGAATCAAATCACAGACAGTTGGCAGTTATCAATAAAATTTGGTTTCTTTTTGGCAGGAGGAGTTGATTGAGGGGGAAGAGGTGGCCACTTGTCCGAGCTGTTCATTAATTGTTAAAGTCATCTACGATCCGGTAAGTACAGATCTTCAGTAGGAGATTGAATTTTGTATTGAATTATTTCAATTGTAGGACATGTTTAATGCCGAGGACGATGAGTCAGCGGTGCTGAACGAAAAGCTTAGCGACTTGAAGCTGGAGAAGAATTAGAATTGAGTTCGCATCTTGATTTACGTGTAATTAAATAAGTTTTTATTTGTATATTTCCCTTTGATTGTAAATAATACGTTGACTAGTAAACAATTAGTTTAAACTATACATTAGCGAAAAATTCATTAGTGTGTTTAATTCACTTTGTTATATTTCGTGTGGTTTACATGTTTAAATATACAAAGGATTATATATAGAAAACAAAAATGGAAACTTGATGCTAGTTAGGCAAGTGTTATAGGCGCACTTATGGCCTGCTGATGTCATGAAATTTGTTCTGTGTGCCCTAGATGTAATCATTTTAAGCATTTCATAGTGAAAATTTAAAAGCTTAAAATACAACACATATAATATAATATAATATATACATAATATAATATATATGATATAATATATATATAATATAATAATGTATATAAATAGATATTGCACTAAGCGCTTTTCGACCACATTGTACAATTAATAGATTAATTTGGAAACAGAAGGAACTATTTTAAGTATGAGTTGCGTGTGGAAATTTATACGTTGTTACATACAAAAAAATTATAGATATATATATGTATGTAATATGGACTGTGCTCGCTTACACTTTCTGCTTATAAATTAGGAATTCCGACTTAAATATTGTTTCGAGTCAGGCAGCTTTTAAAGAGAGCGTACTCCCTTAGCTATACTTGAAATATACGCATAAGTGCCGGCATGTTGGTGACAAAATGGTTCATATGCTATATAAGGGGGTAATACTTTTGCTTTTTCTTTTTTTTTTTTTGCTGGTTTTGAGGGTGCTGATGTGGAGGCGACGTACACTACTGTTCCAGCCATGAACCAGTCACGTTATTCGGCGATTTCAACTGCAAGGCAGATGCAAGAAGAGATTAAAGTATTTTGCTCAATTGCATTTGGGAGGCGGCGTACTCACCTTGATATTGAATTGCTTCAATGTGCTCTCCAGTGCCATGGCATTGCCCGAGAAGTATGCAGCAATGGCATTATGCAACAGAATGAGTTGTTTGTGCATCACTTTGATCTGGATTGAAATGATTCGTTAGCTGGCGTTAAATGAAGCACACTTTGTATGCAAACACTTACGCGATTCTCATCGAGAAATTGCATTTTCACGGCGACATCGCCGCGCAGCTTCTCATACAGATCCTTATGATGGGCATAACTGCGCTGGGTCTCCTCTAGCGATGCCGCCGCATCCGTTAACTCTGGCTTAGTATTCTCCAAATCCATTCGATAGGCATCGAATTCAATTCTGCAAACGATTGGCAACATTTTACATATGGATAGTTTGATAGTTTTTGCACAAAAAACATTTAATAATTGTGCTCAAAAAATTATAATTCGTCATTTCAATTGCATTTATATCCAAAAAATTGATAAATTATTATTGAAATTATTGCGAATATGGGTATTGACTTTTGACTAATTCTATTGACCAATTTACAAATTTACCGAGAATTGCATTTCCAACAGATTATTAATTGGGAGTATTAAAATTGAAAGGGGCTCACCTCGCCGTCTCGTATTGTCGTATTGTTAGCAGGGTATCGTCGATGGTCTTATTGCACAGCGTATTCACAGACGAGATGAAAAAGTTCAGTGCGTTCAAGAGCAGTTCGCCGTTCTTGGTCAAGTTGCGTTGCGTCTCCGAATTGCAGATGAATTCCTTCTGCAGTTCGGGATTCTTTTGCGCCAGATCAGCAAAGGCATCTGCTAGCGCCTGCTGCGACACAACAACATGCTGGAAATGTGAGCTGAAGGCGCGTGTTAGTCGCAAAATGGATAAATATTTTCGTTGGGTCTCGCGCAACTGTTCGATTTGCGCCTCCAGCTCCGAGTCGACGGTGCGCTGCGATTTGCCCAGTTTCTCTAGCATTATCTGTCGCGTGCATTTGTACGTTGATATGCTCCAGTTCTTGATGCTATCAATCTTGGACGCACTTGTCCGTATAAGGCTGCTGCTGCCATCTGTTGATGTTAGAAAGCCATTGCTCGTCTGCGGACTTGTCGGTGACATGGGTGTCGTTGGTGCTGCTTTGAGACAAAGACGTGAATAGTTATTTGCATATTGTTTCTTATGTTCTAGTTCTCACCAGAATGATTTCGCAATGGCAAACTGCTGCTCGTACTTAACGGTATACCAGTTCCAATACTGTGGCTGCTTGCGCTGCCGCTCATCCCGATTCCCATCCCCATCCCAATTCCGATTCCGCTGCCAATGCCGATGGTGCCCTCGGTGCCAGTGTGGACAGCGCCGCAACTGTCATTCATTGACGGTGTGTCTTTGAGCATTTCATGTATGCTGCGCTCGCGTTCCGCCATATTCTTAATTTCACAATTATTATTGAACAGTGTTTATCTTATCAGTGTTCAATTACACCTCAAATATCGCTCGACTTGGGTGGAGGTGGACTGGGGTGGAGTTTGCTGCCCGGCACTGCAGTCGAATCGATAGCATACACACGGTAGCACGAGCGTTACCAAATTGTTACTCGTTTATTATTTGCACTAGTAATGGATATTTGCAAATGCAGCGCAGCTGCAATTACAATCTTAACTTATTTCGGTCAGAAAAAAACCATTGAATTAAAATGGAGCCGGTGTGACCGATTCATTGGCTATGTAAAAATACCAACATTTTCAATTGAAAAAGGAAGGAAATTCCCATATGGTGTTACATTGTTTCCAATAGTCCACATCGTTTATAAATATTGTTTAGATTGTTGTAAACATAATTAACTTTTATTTAAGACCCTACAATGTATAGATTAACTCTATTAAACTAGGTACTTTGGCTGGTCACATTAATCGAATACCCATCCAAACAACAGAAACAAGGTGGCAACTCTTATCTAATTTGAGCAATCTGGCATCCAAGTGTCGCGGATGTCCGATCAAAAACACAACTATTAAGGGATTTCACATCTTATCATTTAGCAGACGGATATCAATTGCGATTCACTAGTAAAATAAATAATATATATTGATAGTTGTGCTGGTGATTTTAAGACGTCTATGCGGTGTGGAAGACCATGACTCTACAATTAATTTTAACATTCGGCAGCATAATTATTGCTGCAGCGGCTGCAATTTATTGGTCTATGCCCGAACGTCCATCCAACGAAAGGCAATATCAGAATTCGAGGAGACGTCCAAATCATACTAACTACCCTGCTGTTGATGACCAACAACGCTATCCCAGAAGGCAAGTCCGAGAGTTCTTTCTTGTGTATATGTATATATATATATATGAATATAAAAATGATATATTTGTACTTCAGTAATCCCGGCGATAGATGCCTTGTTTGCCATGAGGTAATGACTGCTAACGGGATGAAGATAATGCGATGCGGCCATGCACTGTGCAATGCGTGCTACTCGACATGCAGATTGGCCCAAACTACTTGTCCATACTGCTATGTTGTTGTGTTCCAGCTCACTAAGGTGGGCGACGATTGCGTCATATGCTGTGAACCCATGTTGAAAAATACCATGACATATATGAATTGTGAGCATGCACTGCACACAGCGTGCCTTTCCGCATACCGGCGGCATGGCTTTAGGTCGTGTCCACTCTGCCAGAGTCCACTGGGTCAGAACTGACTGAACAATAATTGGCAACTGAAGCAATATTCAAATTATGATATATAAACGGCAAAAAAATTTCTTAATTGCTTCTGTGTGTAAATTATATTATATTGTAATTTTTTACATCAGATAATAGGAGTATAAATCATTTTTATTAAATAAACTTTGAAAATAAATTGCAAATCTTTATTTTTATAATAGAAAAAGCTGTTAGAAATAAATATTGTTTGCTAATAGAAATCTATGAAATCCTACATTATATTTAGGATATGGTACAGTGGTAGTTCCAACTGGCGGACATCACTTTTCCGCACACATCCTCTCTTGTTTCTTTTTATATATTTTTACTCAATTTAATGCTGAAATTATAATTAATGGATCGTGAATTTTAGTTGCATTACGCAAAATCTTATCTTGACTGACCAATTGATGAGTAAGGATCGCTGTGTGCCTAAGGGAATTAACAAGTAATTACATTTTAAATTTGTTATCATCACAATATTGATCTGGAAAGTGCAAGTAAAATCGAACGATCACTGTACGAATATATCATGTCATATCAAATGCCTTTCTGTAGTGGTCAAAAAACTTTATTCGGAAACATTTAAGATTATCAAAAAAAAAAGAAAGAGAAAAGAAAAAGAACTGCCTAAAGAAATGCCTCCAATACGGGTGCAGCACGTTGTTGCCAATTCTCGCGCCAGCGCAGCTCCTGGAACTGGTGCAGGCTGCGACCGAAACGCGATCGAGTCTCGACAATGCTGGGATTGTTCGGAAAGTGCTCGAACCAGATGCGCAACTGCTCCGACAGCTCCACATGATCGCTGAAAACGAAACCGTTCTCGCCATGCTTGACCAGCTCGTCCAGACTAACGAATTAACAAATTAGATAGGAACTTGATCATAATTTTTGCAGCCAGCTGAACACTGAACTTGAGTGCTCACCATTTGAAATTATATGCGCAGACTGGGAGACCGCTGCCAAACATGTCCACCACTTTCATGGGCAGATCGAGGCCGCTGGTGCTCCAGTGGAGGGAGACACCAAGATCGGCGCTGGCTAAAATGCTGGGATAATCCTCCGCCTCCAGCCAGGGCGTCACAATCGACACCTTTTGCCATTGCCTTTTCGCTATCTGCGCCTCGTATTGCGCCTTCTGCGGCCCCTTGCCGGTGATGACGCACAGCAGCGAGGGATATACATGCGGCTCGGCCAATGCGATGCACTCGTATGACTCCAGCGCCTGCAAAAGTATACCAAAATCCTCATCGGGCGTCCAGCTGGTGCTCGACACAACTATCGCTTGCCGTTGCGGCTTAAAGAGCACAGTCCCATTCGACAGTTTCTGGGTGAGTGCCGTCGATTCGACAACGCCCGACTGCTTCAGATCCGCATAGCAGTGCGGCATGAATTGTGCATAATCCTTCGATAGCTTCATGAACAGATCGTGCTTTTGCGCCAACTCAATCGGATGGAATTGCGCCGGCGCACGATCGTACAGCACAGTAACTGGCCTGTAACAAGCGAAGATTGACCAACGACAATGATGATGATGATGGGTAACAAAAAAAAATACCGTTGCTTTTACCCAATATTCCAGTTGCGTTGCAAATCCTCCTTCATGGCTTGAGTGACGCAGAAATGTGTGTGCGCCTTGGCGCCAAAGTAGCGCTCCAATCGTCTGGTCAACCGGATAAGGCGACTCTGCTCGCCACCGGCCATGCCCATCGCCAGAACCGTATAGCTGTAGTTGTGCCAATCGATGGCGAGCTTGGTGCGCGTTACTGCGCAATACAAATAGCACACGATGAGCGTGGGAATGCCGGGCGGATTTTGGACGAGCAGAAAATTGGGACGCCGTATCGAGATGAGTGCCATCAGCAGACTCAACGTCTGCCAGATCGCTTTGAACAGCAGCTTCAATTTGGGCGTTAGATTCGTTACGGGCACGGCGGGTAGTTCGTGGATTTTGCACTTGGGCTGCGCCACGGCCAAAGCGTCTAATGGCCGCGTCTCCATGTAGCCAATGATGTCCACATTGTAGTTGTCCTCGAGCAGACTCTGCGCATGGTATTGCATACGTGGACTGCGTCCGATGTCGCCCAGCACAATGACGCAAGCGTTGCGCTTTCTCAGTTGCACCTCCACCATATTCCCCAGCTAGATAAATGTTAATTGTTCTTGTTCCTTCTTCCCGGCACTTCTGCCCTTTCTTCTTCTTCTTCTTCGTCTTGTTGCTTTTCTGCAGTGGGAATTGAATTTGTTTAGATCAGGCCCGTTTTTGTTGTTGTTGTCACACATAAATCTTAACAGTCGCCATAATGTTAGTAACAGTGCGCAATGTCTTGTTTCTGTTATAATTGTGCAAAATATTTGAAAAAAACAGTTGGTTTACTCTGCTATCGTATAAAATTAGCTAAGCACTAATATTATATGGAGAAATTGTTCTCGACGGTGTCCAGTTTAATTGAAAATCAGCGAATGGTGTTTGGAATTGAGTTTAACATCTGCTAACTGCTTATCTATTTAATCAAGTTTAACAGCGTCATAACAAATCAGCTGTTGCATGGATTATCATACGATTTTGAGAGGCAACTGAAATGTGCGGAGAGAATTCTGTTGATGGCTATCGGTCATATCACACAAACGCTAATCATACAATATGGATTTTACAATATTATTTGTGGGTCCAATGATATGCAGCGTTTATAACGTAATATCGATATTAACTGAGAATGAAACAGTGGGAGTGTGCCCATATAACTTGACGGCCAAGCAGTATTGTAAAAAGTAGATGCTTAACAGCTCAAATGAGCATAACAGTGACTTAACATCACGCTGTAGTAAGTAACAGCGACTAACCGCTAACAGTCATGCAGCTTGGCTTATGTTCAAACCAATTCAAATATTGACGTGTGTGGACGTGTCGCGGCAGATCGTGCTTCATTTGGTTGTGTTGTGCGTGTGTGTTTAAATGTGTGTGTTTGTGTATGGGTATATTATTTACTGAATGCCCTCTACGGCTACAGCTACAGCAGCAGCAGCAAAATGCTCAAGTGTCAACTGCATGGATAGCTTTGCTAAGAAAAAAAAAACAAACGGCAACCACGGTTAACGGTAAAATTTCGTCTGGCCATTGTTGTTGTTGCCGCTGGCAATGCGGCAAATTTGCCGGTAAGTGAATAAGCCAAAAATACGCAATTTGTTTTGGTATTCCGGCATTTTGTGCATTTTTTTGCCGGCACAACAAAGTAACTGTCAGAACCCCACTGAACCCCCCTCACCCACCCTCTGTCATCCCCTCAGTTTGGCGCCGTCGCTGTTTCGAAATTCAGTTCCGACTACCCGCAAAAATGTCAATTTGCAGTTTGTGTGTGTACGTGAATATGTATATATATATATGTGTGTGTGTGTGTGTGTGTAAACTTTTCGGTATTTGTATTTTGCCGCCATTGACTATGGCAGTGCACTAAAAGTATGCAGCATTGTTTTAGTTGATTATGCTTAGTATATGTTTAATTTTTGGTTTTTGTTTTTCCAAGTTTGTGTGTTTGTTTGCCTATGTCTGCGTGTCTCGTGTAACGGGATATACGCGCAATGTTACTACTGAGTACACACTAGAGTTGAGCCCGTGTCTTGCTTTATTTCGTGACACGAAAGCTAACCACAGTCAAGTCAAAAAGAAAAAGTTGGAAAATGTACTTAGTTTTTAAGGAATTTTTGGATTTATTTGTTACAAGAAAAAATATAATGTGTATTTAAAAAAAGAATAATAGATAAATCTGAAAAATTTCTAAAATCGAGTTATTTTTTAATTCAAAATATATTTTAATCAATATATATATTACTGATATTTGTTGTTGCAAATTTTTGAATCGCTTCCATTTCTAGTTAAGCACACACGCATAAAAACACAAACACAAACATACCTTGCTTATTTCATTAGAAAACTGTCTGCAGCGTTTGCATCGCTCAGACGAGACACAACCATCGAGGCGCGCCCACCTGCCTCCTTCACCTCCTCTGACAACGCCGATGCGCAGCCAAACAGCTAAAAAGCCGCCCAGAGAGTCAGCTTCAGCATCGGCGTCAGCATCAGCATCAGAGCCACCCCCAATGAAGGCGATTTTCCCAGCAGACTCAGGAACTCTGCGCTCGGACTGTCTGGGTGGTTATATGGAGGGATGGTTGGGTGGTTGCTTTCGCATTGTGGATTTCGCGTGCAGCTTTATGCCGTTGATTTTTGATTTCTATGCGGTTTTATCAGTGCGTTGGGCAAAAGTTTCTCGTTCGCTTCACGTTCTCTGTTTCACATTTGGCATAGAAAACTTGCTGGAATCGTCGCCGGTCTAGACAACAAAACGGTTGCGATTCAAAATGTCAACTCAAATATGTGTATATTTCACAGCGTAGTCAATGTTGATTTACTGGGAAATGTTCTGTTCCCTGTTAGCAAAAACACATTTTGGAGTCCATTATGCTTGTTATAAGTCAAGTAAAATTTCAAATCTAGAATATTGAATACAAATAAAGAAAGAATATAAGAACAGTTTTCATATTTTGTACATAGAGATAAGTTTAGTATATAGACTAAAAGAGCTGGAGGCGTCAGATAAAGTTTAATTAATTTTATCGTTAGCTGCCACCGTTTCGAGAATATAGATTCATATCGATTTCTGATAGCAATTTTAAATGCATATTATTGATCAACTGTAAAAATGTTATTTGGATCGGATCGGATGTATTTAACAGCTGAATACAGGTTATCTTCTATTCAAGCTGACTCTCGATTAAAGACCCTGACTCTTAAATATACCTACCTAATCATTTAAAAGACTGTTTAAGTCTTTGACTGAAATCTGATAATATTAAATAGATCGAATATAAATGTTGGCCAACATTGATTAGGTTTATTTGCGAAATATATCTGATATTCCCCTCAAATTTTACTAACTAATATTTTTCACTTTATCAATTGCTTTACAGCCTGCTTAGAACATATCATAACGGATTAGCTATATATGACTGAAAGTGAGCAAAAACACTAAAACTGAACGAAGCAAACAATAAGAAAAATAAGTTTATAACATTCCCTGCACTAATTGGATTTACATCAAGCGACTGCGAGCAGAGCGATAGGTAAGTGTTGTACTTGCGAGGCAATTGCAAACTTGCAACTTGCGTGAATTTCATTTGCATCATTTGGAAATGTGCCGCGTGTGTCTAGACATTAAGCGCGGGGCAGGGATGGGGGTAATTTATAGCAAAGCAAAAGCGAGCGCTGTGTGCAGCTGCCTGGCAAATAGTTGTGTATCCTAAACAAACTTCCGCCTCTCGCATACCAAATATGTACACACACATAGACATACATACATAGTTATTTAGCTTGCCTATAATTAGAGACGAGAGCGAAAAAAAAAAATGGGAGAGAGATACAGGGCGGGAGAGGGACAGCGACAAGTGCATGCACAGTTTCTTGTATGGCTATTTATATTGCTTGTTGCTTGTCTTTGGGAGTAGGAGACGCTGAGTTAACAATCGGCGCCAAGTGCTTGTGACATTTGCCCGAAAAGCGTACAAGAAAACCGGCGACAAACAGACAAACCGACAAACCGACAAAATCGACAAACACAAAACATGTGCATTTCAAGCTGAGCACGCATAAAGATCTATGTATATGGGTTCCATATGGCTTTACGTACTTTGGCCTCTCCGCAGGTCAAGTGCGTTCAAATTTAGTCCGTCCGCCGGTTGGTCGACACCTTCTCACAATGAGAGTGTATTTGTGTGTGGACACAGTATTTGCTGTAATGTAAAAGGTTTTTCATGTGACCGCGGTTAGAGGCTATTTACACTACAACAAATTGTTGGTCCTTTTTTTGAAGATTCGAAATTGGACTTTGATGATTGATTAAAGAATTATAATTTTGTTGTCACAAATTGTCGGACATATTCTCAATATTTAAATCACACAGCATTGAGTAACTTCTTATCTCGTTTTTGAGAGTATTTATATATATATGGCTAAACCTGCATAAACTTTACGGAAGGATTGTAGTCTGGTGGAGAAAAAGCTGACTAAAATGCAATTATTAAATTTTTTAAATCAAACTCAAACTATATATATATATATATATATCTATAGCATATATATTTTTTGATATTAAGTAATTGTATTAAAATATTATCAATATATAATTATTTTATTAATACTTAATCAAATAGTAATACAGAAAAACACATTTGGTTGTACTCGAAATTTGCTTATCTAATTTGCAGCTACTCCGAAAATAATTTTACATACCTGAGTTATTTTAATATATTTATATATTTTTATACATAGTCATATATATATTTTTCGTCAGTGCATATTTTGCTATACACATAGAACGTCCATTTCCTTAATTAGACATAAAACGAGAGCAGGCAATATAATCATTTCAAGCAAATTTAGCTTTTTGGAAACAATTGAGAGGCGGATGGCACAAAAATCAGGCAGCAAGTGGATTTTGGCAGGGCACAGGAGGAGGAGGAGGAGTTGTGGCAAAAAGTCAACAATTACAACAACAACAACAACAAAAACAGTATCAAGTTGTTACTGCAAGTCCGAAAGTGACGCGAATGACGTTGATGGCGCCTCGCAACGATGCGAGTTGTCCAAGTTGCCGACGGGCATTTCACTTCATTATTGTTGTAGTTGTCGCAGAGGCAAGCGAGTTGGGGCAGCATTGGCCAGTTGACATAGAATGGGCTGTCGACTGCACAGCCAGCAATGATGAAGTAGCAGTAGTAGTAGAAGACTTCACATTCAGTTCATACAACACAATTTATGCAAAGGACGGTGGGACGGAGTGCGGTGAAACTGCCTCGAGCGGCGTCAACTATAAAAGTGCTATTTAGTTGAGTTGTTGTTGTTGTTGTTGCTGCTGCTGCTGCTGCTGTTGCTATAGTTGTCATTGATGTTGTTGCTCCTTAGTTGCCTGCCTTTGGGCAACATTTTGCACCTTTCACGTTTATTGTGACATTATGCTTTAAATAATGGATAACAACAAACAATAATAACAACAACAGCCCGAACAAAGCAAACACTTTTTAGAACAACAGCGCCAATAAGGGAATGATGTTGGCGGGCGGGCAGTATAAAAGGGAGGCATAAAAGGAGCGTCGGGTTGTTGTTTGTTTTGTTAGTGGCTGCTACTCTTTTTTTTTTTTTGGTTTCGGTTTTTTTGTTGTTTGCCTTAAATATAAATTTTTCACAAAGTAAAAAGGGTATCTTTAAAGGAAACATAGATGTCAGTCTTTGTGTAATACAGCAAAATTAGTCGTTGAACAAAAATGTTGGTACTTACTTAGGCTGTGACTATAAAATGTTTTTAAATAAATCATAGCTAATATATATCGATAATCTAACTACAGGGTATCTGATAGTTAGGAACCATTCGTTCGAGCATGCTGTCGTATGTCCTTTTCCTTTTTGCGGCATGCTTTTCCATTTTGTTTTGATTAAAATGAAGCCGCAGACCCACAAAAAGTAAAATAGAAATTCGAGCGTGGAATAGAGAGAAAATTGTCGAATAGTGGAAGTGTGGGTGGTGTGCGGGGTCTAAACCGCCATAAAGTTAATGGAAAGATTGTAGTCTGATGAAAAACAAGCTGATTAAAATGTTTAGCAAATGGAAATTAACAGATGTATGGAGTAGACCCCAAAAAAGGTTGATTTAAGATATGGCTAAATGTAATAAAAAAAAAAAAATAAACAAATAAAAATGATTTTCGGGCAATTATTATATTTTGTTAACAAACAGAAGCAATGCTGTTATCTAAATCAAAATCGGTCAGCAAATTTCAGAATTCAAATAAAATATACCAAAATATGATATAAATACGTTGCCTTTGAGCTCAAATAGATTTTAGATACGAATTCAACTTTTATGCCATTTTTATATGAAAAGTTTTAGGCACATTTCTGTGCATCATTTAGTGCTTAATTAAAAGCGAGCATGATCAATTTGTAAACATAACAATTTCAAAGTATTAAATGTGTAATATTTTGGGCATTTGCTTCTCATGCGTTGGAAACACTTTAGGCATCCAATTAAAATAAATTATACATATTAATGAGGAGTACTAAAAGCGACAACAACACCAGCAACCAAAATTAAAATGAGCAAAACCAAAAAAAAAAAAAACATGTTCATATTAAAGTTCAACCAGAAACAGCCAGACAAAAAAGCATGTGAAAAAAATAGCAGAAGCCCAATGAGAAGCTCACGTGCACCTTGACAGCTTGTCACTTAGTCGGTGTAGGGAGAGAGCGGGGCTGGTTGCAAGCACACGACGGCAACGACACAAGGTGGTGGCACCATTGCCACAAAGTGAGTCATTTTGAGTGTCGAGTTTAGGTTTTGGCTTTGGCCTCTCGAAAATTCAGTCTTTTTTTTGGAGTTGCAGCTGCGAGCTTTGTCTGTCAACTGTTGTGTGTACTTGTCTTTGTCTGGCAATTAAGTTCTGCAGTCCCTGGCATCAGTTAGCTTATTTGAGATGTATATTAGAGCAGCCGCTGGAAAGCTGAAAAAGATTTTGGTTATTTTGATTAGTGTATAATTTTTACTTCTGCAGATGGTAATGATAAAATAACATGTAACATATTAGTAATCTTTGATTATAATATGCATATTAATATAACGATTCACAGTTATTCCAAAAGTTTTTCACTCAAAAGCATTTAAGACAATGGATCAATTTGATAATTTGTCAACAAAGAGTGAGTTTGGATTTTCAGTGGATTTAGATAATATTTTTTCATCGATTTTGTTTTTAAATAACGAATTTAAATTCCGAGCGTCGAAAACGTTCGAAAATATTGTATCAAATCCACTTTCGTAAATTGCATGCAATCTATGGCAAATATTTTGTCATTCGCCAAAGTATCACTCCAAAGGGAATTGAGTTGCTAACACACACTTCTGCAGTGCCCTTGCTTCCCTATATGACACTGTGGTGTGTGTGTTTGCTTGATGTTGTTCGGTGGGTTCCACTGTCGTCTTGTGGTGGTCTTGTAATCAAATAAATGACTGCACCCAGGTGCCAGGAGGATGCTCCTCATCGCTTCCTCTGCCAGTTGGCGCCCAGCTTTGTCTTCATGATTGGCTTTAGTCATCGAAGAGTGCTTTCCCCCAAAAGTTCCCTAACATTAATTCATTGTGTTCTCTTTTGGTTTTTAATGATGCGCAATTTGTCGTTAATTTTCAGCATTTTATTTTATGTTTTATTTTGTTTTGCGAAGATTTCTTAACATTTCACTTTGTTACGGTGCCTCCAGCGCCAGCTGGGCTCCTTTTTGTCCTGTCTTTTAGTCTCTGCCACAGTCGCCGACTCCATTTGATTGGGCCCCTTTTGGTGTTTGCCATTATTTCGTGCAACTGTTCGTTGAACAGGGGTTGTGCGTTGTGGCGGGCAACTTTTGTTTTATGTCTTTGGGCCGTGCGTTGCGACATTGCAGAAAAGTTTCTTGAGGCAGGGCATCCATTAATGTGGATTTTTAGTTGTTGCTGCTGTTGCTATTTGATCTACGTTCTGATGTCCCTTTCAGGACTATTAAAATGTGATTATATACTGCTACTACCTACACACAGATACACACATACATACATACACACCCACATACATCCACACAAACACAGAAGGACTTTTATTTGAATTATAGTTGAAAATAATTCAAATGTCGAAATTCGCTTGATTAAGTTAAGCGACCATTGTATCTAAATGGTGCTTAAGCTTAAATGGCTTTCTAAATGCCGGATAAAGTGGGGAATAGTACTTTATTTAAGCAATAAATATTATAATAAATACAAAGCATTTCGATGTTAATAAACTTTGAAATGGAGTTGGATTTCAAGCCAAATTACAAATCAAAACCAAAATTAACAAGCTAAACAAACTTGATATAACCATCAGTATATAAGAGGTAAAATAATTACAAGTTAAAAGTTGTCAAATACATTTTCGAATTTTCATTTCTGTTTCTTTGACAAAAGGTCTTGATTCTTATGGTATATGTATATATTTTTAAATGAGTCTACTTTGCACTATTATTGGCAACCCTTTAGGTAAGCTTGTACTTTGTGCAATTGTTCCTC